AAATCATCATCAAAAACCATAACTTACTTGTGTGTCCGCAGCACCAAACATACATATATGCAACTACTAATGCATAAATCAATAGGCAAACGCAATGCATGGCATTTAAAACATATAAACATTCCATTTCATTTTCTGGGAAAAACCACAGTATATAGGTATATACGGAAAACCAAAAGCCCACTCACTAGTATGTGGAAGGGTCGTAACCCCCTGACTACGCTCGTCCTCGGGATAGGCTCACCTATATGCGAAACAACTATCAAAACGTCAATTTAAAGCACATAACCAAAACTAGGTAATAACTTCTCATACAATGCTCAAATGGGGTGTGTGAATACACTAACGTGATCTACTCAACCTCACGAACATCCCCATATTTTTAAAATAATTTTCTGACCTCCCACGCGCCGCCATGTGCCAGGCACACTGACAGCGTCAATTAACACCGTCAGGAATATTCCGTTAAAACTAACAGATTCCGTTAAAGTCAACCTAACGCCGTTAAGAATATTCCATCCAAACTGACGGAATATTCCGTCTTCTTCTCTAGCACACCTCCGATGCCATCACTGTCGCCGAAAAACCAGAAAAACTTCAAACCTTCGTTTCTCACTCGTTTTTCAACTAAATTCTATAAAATTGGTACCAAAATGAACCTTACAACAAGTAGAACAAAATCTTACCACTTTCAAGCCCTAAAATTCACGAAACCACGCCGGAGTAACTTCACAAAATCCGGCCAAACCTGCAATTCACGATCCCGACGTCCAAATCCTTCCAACGAATCACCCCAAGCTTTCTAAGGACCTCACTAAGCTTCCTACAAGCTTCAAATTCCCTGAAAAACAACGTTTCACGTGTGCATGAACAGTAACCATAATCGAGGTTCCATGGTTCAACGTGAAATCGAAGAATTTCCCACCTGAAATGGGTATGGTTGAACTCGTATGATCCTCACGAACACAAAGATATAGTTTTCCACCTCGATCTACAACGTTTTCATGAGTTTTGGTACTTATCCGTATGAAGAAGAAAAGGTAGAGAGAGAGAGAGAGAGAGAGACACACACACACACACACAGAGGACAGGGAAAGTATATGGGAAAGAGATAGGGATGATAATGTGTGTGTGGTCTAGATGCAGCCAACAAGCCCACAAACAAATACCCCAAAATTAAACGTAACCACTAGGGGCAAAATCGTCATTTTACATCTACGGTACGAATAATTCAGGACGGGCTGTCACATTTACTTCTAAACAGTTATAAATAATAAAGATGAAGTTCTTTGAGTCAACCATGAAGTGTATTGTGGAGTATTTTATGAGCCAAACATTGTTTATTCTCAAGAGAGCTATTATTAGTATTTTAAAATAGTCATTCTACACTTTACACAAGTACAAATATAAAAAGAAAAAAAAATAGTTGGATGACGCGTAATGACTTTTTTGAAGTGTCAATAACATCATTCAATTCTTCATGTTGAAATCCTTGTTTTTTCATATTTGAAATTGCTTAAATTTTGAATATGGGGTAAGTTTAAATGTGAATAAGATTTGGATTTAAATTGTTAATCTGGAATTAGAACTTACTAACATCTTACCACACACCTACACGTGTGTCAATTGGCGCTTTGTTTTATTGTTTTAGTTTTTTTTTTTTTTTTTTTTTTTAAGTTTTACTTATTTTAGATAAATTATTTTTTATTAAAATATATTTTGAAAAATAATGAAAGTAGTCACCCACAGTTCTACTACGTGGATTTTTTTTATGATTTTTTTATTTTTTTAAATTATAATGAAAGAAAGGTAATTTAAATATTATGAAAGTTTAACTTTTTTACTTTCTCACTTTATAATTATATATATAGATAATGAATTTTACAATTGTTTTCCCTTCTCCACCAAACCATAACAAGACCGTTTGAGATGGTTGTACAAGCCCAACTTTTGCTCCCGGTTCGATCCGTCTAATTGCTGACACAACCACAATGGGAATGCACAAGCCCATTCTTGACAAAATGGCAACTAATATTTAAATTTAGGGTAAATTACATGAAACTACTTCAACTATTGAGTCAGTCACATTTTCATAGCTCATCTTTAAAACATTTCAATATCATACCTTATTTTACGAATTTGTTACAATTTCATACCTTCGTCATTTTGTCTGTCAATTCTTCCGTTAAATAGTGACGTGGCTTGAGATACGGCCTGCTCTCTATTAAAAAAATAATTAATTAAATATTAAAAACTAAAAAACTAAATTATTTAATACAAAAAAAATTGCATGTGGGACCCACCCCTTATCCCCCTCACCCTTTCTTCCCCATCTACCTATGTCCCCCCAACCTTCCTTCAATGTCAAAACCAGAACCCCTGCCACCTTCTCTTCCTCCATCTCCACCTCCCTCCCATGGCGCTCTTCCCCCTCCCCTTCCTCCTACACACACATCACCCTCACTAAATTAATCCTTGTAACCAAATTCAAACAAAATACCCCAATTCCACCCAAAGCCTAACCCTAAATTTCTTCCCCTTCTCATCTGTCGTGCTTTCCAACAACAGGACTAGAGGAAGGAGGATGGGATGTGGGTGGGATAATGGCTGACATGGCGGATCTTGTTCTAGACAGGAGCTAGGAAGAAAGGTGAGGGGATAAGGGGTGGGTCATACCCTCTCCTCACACACAGACGCACATACCAGCGTCGTCGCCTCCCATCTCCTCCACGCAAATTCATCATCATAGGTCGCATCCAGACAAAAACAGTGAAGAAATCCTCCCCCTAGTTGATCGAGCGCTGCTACTCTCGCATGACCCTGCACTTCCACACCAACAAGAAAATCCTCGAGGAAGTTACCATCATCCCCTCCAAACGCCTCCACAACAAGATCGCCCAATTCTCCACCCACCTGATGAAGCGGATCTAGAAGGGCCCAATCCGCGACATCTCCCTGAAGCTGCAGAAGAATGAGTGCGAGAAAAGACGGGTGAGGTGGTTGAGTGATAGATGAAGGTGGTTAGCAAAGCCGGAGAAGCAGCGGAGGAGGTCGAAGGCAGAATGGTGTAGTGATTGGCACAAAGAAGACGGAAGCGAGGTGGGATCTGGTTTTGGGTTTGGGGAAGACAGGAGGGGGAAGAAAGGGTGAAGGGGATAAGGGGTGGGTCCCCCATGCAAAAAAAAATTATTAAATGATTTTATTTTTTTAGTTTTTAATATTTAATTCATTTTTTTTATTTTTTTTATTAATTTTTTAATAGAGAGTAGGCCCTGTCTCAAGCCACATCACTATTTAACGAAAGACTTGACAGACAAACTGACGGAAGGTATGAAATTGTAACAAATTCGTATATGAGGTATGACATTAAAATTTTTTAAAGATGGGGTATGAAATTGTGACTGACCCAATAGTTAAGGTAGTTTTATGTAATTTACCCTTAAATTTAAGAGTGGGATTCTCTCTCCTCGTAAGTGCATCTCCAATAAAGACTTTATCCTCTATGAAGCTACAACTACTACAGTTGAAGCTCTAATGATAAATTTCATCCTCAATGAGATGGAAAATAGGGCTAAATCCACCACTTGGGTTAGTAACTTCCTTCCTTGGGTAGCAAAAAATTAGGCTATATCTAGCCTAAAAAAACAATGGATCTCACGAGAAAAGTAGTTACTCATGTGAGCCAAATTTTACCACTCCCTCCTCCCTTGCAAATACAATTATACCTTCTTTTTATTCATTTTTTTAATTCTTTTTCTTTACATATTTTTGTTCTAAAGGTCCTCCATTTTATTTGTATATTTAATGCTTAAAACATAAAACGATATAAGATATTCTACTAAAAGGGCTTACTTTTATTAATTTCCAAATAAAAACACTACATATTGAAATGACATTGGAAATTTGGAGACCTAAACCGAAAACATACCTAAAGTGCAAGGGCATTACAATTTAGTTACGAGATAAAATCTTATCTTGTCTAACTTCAGAGAAACAAATCAACAAATAAGATTGAGATAAGATAACATAATACGACTGTTCATACGTGATGAAATCTAACTTTGTCAGAAGTTGAATTTTTTTAGGTTGAAATGTTCATAAATTTTCTTTGAGATAACATGTCCAAAAATTGAATTAAGAAAAGTTAACAAAAAAAAAATTATTGCGTAATCAAATTACTTCATAAATAAATATATATAACCTCATATAGTGCCCGAAAGTAAATAGCCTCTTATTAGGAGAAATTCTTTTATAAGGCCCCAAAAATTCCTTGGGATCCTAAAATAGGCTATATCCACTATTTTTTTAGCCCCATATAGAGCCCCTCACTCGAGATGCTCTAATCCCCTTCCCTTCCCTCCCCTCTTCTCACGCTTTCCTTTTTGTCTTTATCTCTCTATAAATAAAACAATACAAAATTGTTGACGTAGCTTAACCGTAATCGTTTAAATAGGAGGGGAGGAAAGGGGAGAGAGATTAGGAGGGGAGAAAATCATACTCCAACCACGTATGTTATTGTCTATTGGAGAGATTTTTCAGTATGTTTGAAACACGAGCACATACGTCATATGTTATTATACAAGTAGAGGAACACTTGAAAAATAAAATTCCCTCATTTATATACTAACATGTGGCATACCACCACTTGTCTTGAGCACAATGAAAAATCTCCGGACTATTTGCAAGGGCTTGTAATTCAATAGGTGTTCACCTCCACATTTGAGGTCTTTTTGATACCATCTTCCACAATATTAGTTGTATAAAATAAATTCTCTTTCACTGCTACCTTTCACACTGGTTCTTATGAGCTTGATTTCTATACATAGGAAGCAAGTATATAGAAATTACCCTTGATTTTTACATTACAGTTGTTACAGAAAGTGTTGAGTTTGATCAAAGTAAATTATATCGATTAATTGTGAGATCCATCTAATTTTTAGTTCATAAACCAAAGTAGCAATTCGGCTAAAATTTAAAAACCAATTAATACTCCAACTTTCTGAAAAACAAAAGAAAAACAACAAGGGTCTGGGTGTGTGGTTAGGTGAGGAGACCCTTCTTTACCAACCATCCCACGCTTTGAGCCATCAAAGGCAAGTGCTTAACCTCAACTACCGACTCCTCCAACCTCGTCTACGCTTGCTTCTTGTTGATTGCAGATTGAGAGAAAAACTTTGAGTTGAGCAGATGTCATTGTCTTCTTCCACTTCCATAAGACAAGCGCAACCCCATGTCCATGATGTCGAAGATGTCGATGTCATCACCTGCAAAGGTATGCATTATATGTTTCTTAATTTCTACAACTAAAATCAAAATCAAATACCAAAATACTTACTCATGTGTTATGTCTTGTGAAAATCCAAATCCAAATCCAAACGAAAATGTAAAAGCAGCGGCGGTGGCGTGGGGAGCTGGACATCCTTTGGTGATAGAGCAAGTGAATGTGAGTCCACCTCAGCCCATGGAGATAAGGATCAAAGTTGTCTGCACCTCTCTCTGTCGTAGTGACCTCTCTGCCTGGGAGTCTCAGGTATTTCTTCTTCTTTTTCTTATTCTTCAATTTTTTTGTTGACCTGCTCGCATTTATTTCTGTAATTTTAATTGCAGGCTATCTTTCCTCGGATATTTGGCCATGAAGCAACGGGGTATATTTTTTCTGTATTTTCTATTCCATCTACTTATATATATATATATATATATTGTATGAACATGGAATATGGTGATATTAGGTACTAACCTAATCAATAGCAATATTATTGCAGGATTGTCGAGAGTGTTGGGGAGGGAGTGACTGAATTTACTCAAGGGGACCATGTGCTAACAGTGTTCATTGGGGAATGCGGGAAATGCAGGCAATGCGCATCGGGTAAAACTAACATCTGTCATCTCCTGGGGCTTGAAAGGAGAGGCGTAATGCACTGCGATCAGAGGACACGCTTCTCTATAAATGCCACTGGGGAGCCCGTTTACCATTATTGTGCAGTTTCAAGTTTTAGCGAATATACTGTGGTGCACTCAGGATGTGCTGTCAAAATCAGCTCGTTTGTGCCTCTGGAGAGAGTATGCCTTCTCAGTTGTGGAGTAGCTGCAGGTAGAGTTTAAAGTCTTGCTGATACTGCCATGAGATCGCATGATACATACATACACATGATGTATGTATACATATACAGCTCAGAGGGTTTAAGGTTTGGTAGAGGAATGCAATTTCAGTTTATGATACCCCACAGACACCGCTACATGGACGTCTATGTAGGCTGTATGCGTAATGGTAATGACAATTCTTGGTCAAGGAAAAGCATATCTAACATATGTTATGTATGGATACAAATTTTTAGGCTTGGGTGCAGCTTGGAACATTGCTGATATATCTAATGGATCAAGTGTGGTGATATTCGGTCTTGGGACAGTAGGCCTTTCTGTAAGTACAGGTTTACCTTTATCGTTACAGTAGGCCTTGCAAAAATGACAGCAGCAGCAATGCAGCATATAATTCAAACAATAATGGTTTCATGTGTGATAGGTTTCACAGGGTGCAAAGCTTAGGGGAGCATCTCAAATAATTGGTGTTGACACTAATCCTGAAAAGGGTGAAAATGGTACATTTTGAGAGATATGTGTTTCTTCTATCTGGACTCTGGAGTTATATGTTAGGTAATGATGCTCCTACTGGTACACACAGCTAAAGCTTTTGGAATTACAGAATTTATCAACCCAAATGACAGCAAAGAACCTATTCAACAGGTAATTCTGACTAAACCATATGGTCCAGATGGATCACCCTCCCCCAATTTAAACTTATTATCAAAGAAAATAATAATAATTAAATAGTCAGCGTGACCGATGGTTGGAGCTTGGTGGTAGATTGAATGAGGTGATTGGAATTCTACAGTGAGTAAGGAACGATAATGGATCAACTTGAATATCATTTGTCTTGAAACTAAAATGTGAGCTAACTTTCTTTCAGGTTATTAAGCATCTGACAGGCGGTGGAGCAGATTACTCATTTGAATGTATAGGTGACACTGGGATGGTAACTACTGCATTGCAGGCATGTTGCGATGTAAGTTTCTGATATCTCAGGGTTTGATTTTCTTTTTAAGCATATCTCATATTTAATTTTGTGTGTAAATTGATGAAGTTCTATTCATTCAACTTGGCCTCATTTTTATATGCCGTTTGCTTGAAGGGATGGGGTTTGACAGTTACACTTGGTGTGCCAAAAGTGAAGCCCGAAATAACAGCTCATTATGGAGCATTTCTTACTGGAAGAACATTGAAGGGATCGCTATTTGGAGGATGGAAACCTAAAACTGATCTCCCTTCCTTAGTAGAAATGTACATGAAAAAGGTAATTGAACTAACCAAAATTCCACTGAAGCTTCAAGAAAGATATATCATCTAATATGAAGTGTCCATTTACCTTTCATTATGGTAGAATTCATTCGGTCCTCATGTAGTTAGGTAATCTACAGACCATCTTCGGTCCTAGCATTCTGGTACTTACCAGAAAATGCGACAGGGGGGATGTCTAAGCAATAGAGCTCTTGTCAACACTTTAGCATGTCTTAGTTTGATAAATGTCTAATGTCTCGATGATTCAACGTGATCACGGAAACATTTCCTTTTATATGAGCAAATAGAAATTGAATAACTGTTGAAGTTTCGGAAGCATTTTTAGTATGTCAAAATAATAATATTGAAGCCTTCCAGTTTGGCCTTCTTTTTATGACAAAGATTTTGCTTGAAGAATTTTTGAATTAACAAAAAGTATTCAGAGTCTAATAATTATAAAACGTATGTTTTGTTAATTGGAAAAAGCAGGAAATCCAAGTTGATGAGTACATAACACATAACCTGCCGTTTGAAGATGTGAATAAAGCTTTCAATCTCATGCGAGAAGGCAAGTGTTTGCGTTGTGTCATCCACATGGAAAACTAGTTTTCCCTTGTTTTGTCACCTAGATCCTTTGATAGAACAAGATTTGATTGTTCTATCCTTGTTCTGATCAAGTTTTATCTACTCGTGGAGGATAATTATCTGTGATTAATAATACTTTCCCTTGGAAGTTGGAAGGCTAGCTCAAGTAACTGGCACTCCTTCCTTCCCCCAGCTGTTTAAACTTTATTGTAAACTGTTCCCTGTTGCAATATTAGTGAATTTTAGTTTTAAAGAATCCAATCAATATCCATGTATCCAATTGATGTCGAAGATTATTTACAAACATAAATAGAGAATTTGTATCCACCAACCGTATTACTCGGTAATTACTTGGTTCATGCTCGAGAACTGAATTGGAGATTCTTTCATTTGTTGCGTGGCAATCAAATTGAAGCTTCTCTTGGGGGAAAAGAAATGAATTTGATCTTGTATTTCAAGTTTCTAAAAGAAAAGGCACAAAGTTGAATGATACATACATATGTGAAGCCTGCCTGTGTTGATGGATTGATGTAGGAAAATAGGGGTCGATCAAAGTGGAGAGAATCATAGAAACAAAAGTCGTACAAAATAAGAAATAATAGTGCAAAATTGAGAAAACATTGGTTTTTAGCAAAGGAAAAGGCAACAAGTCATTGTTGCATATTTGCTAGTAGCTTAATTTTGTCTTTTCATGTTTTGTAAGAATTTATTAGTTTTCCTTTGTGTTTCGTTTATTTACTAGATTTACATGTCGTAGTAGTGGAATTAGAGTTTGATGTCTATATAAAGGCTTGGCTTATTGGAGTTGTAATTCAGATTATGTCATATTATTATCAACCAAATTTAGAGTTTTCTATTTTGTGGGTGAATTCTAATTTGTCTGTTGAGTTTCGACGCTTGTCAATCCTTGCATCTTTGTCAATCATTGTATCTCTATTTTTTCAAAAAAAAATCAATCCTTAAATTATAAAAATTTGTCAATTACATCCCTAATATTATATTCGAAGCTACTATATTCAATTATCCGTCAATTTAAGGGCTGGTTTGGTATTGATGTGCTTTGAAAAAAAATTGTTTTTGCTGTGTTGTGAGAATAAGCAACTGTAAAATAAAGCAGTAGAGTGTTTGGTAAACTTTTTTGTAAAAGTGATTTTGAAAACAAAAAAGCAGTATTATAGTGTTTGATAAATTTTTATGTAAAACAGATGTGAAAAAAAAACCTGTTTTTTAAAGCTGGGTTTTGGAGCTTCTTATTTTTGGTTTTTTTTCACCCAAAATTGTGAAAAAATGCTGAAGCTGAATGTTTACCAAACACAAAAACAGCTCCCAGCTTTTTTCAGAATCACCTCAGTACCAAACCAAGCCTAAGTCACGTTACTTGCATGTGATACACATTTGGGGGTAGATTGGTAGTTTTTCATAAATAAATTGTGCACGGAGTTAACTTTGGAGGATAAATTGGTAGTTTTTCATAAAGAAATATTGTAAGTTAACTTTTGAGGCTAAATTAGACATTAATTTGCAATCTATATGAAATGTTAAGGGCTTATAAACGAGAAAATGATGGTATTATACTTGTGTTAAGTGACTTAAGTTGACGAAAAATTAGATAAAATAGCTTTGAATATAATAGTAGGAATGAAATTAGTAATTTTTATGAATTTAGCGACTTATTTTATCCCTAAAAATAATTCAGGAACCTAATTTTCACTGAGCTAATAGTCCATGGACTAAATCGACACTTCACCCTTGTTAAAACATTGAACGAACAAATTAACCTACTATACACCTTGAACGTCAAAATAACTTGGTTTTAGGAATGCTATTGTGAATTTTTAACTGACAAGGGATGAAGGCAACCAAGGTATTGTTCGCATTTGAATGCTTATTAACTTGATTAGCTGAACCACAGCACATACTTTATACACACTTGGTGCTGTAAGTATAAATTGCGATATGTCTGTCGTTTTAAGTAGGTGAGGGGGTGATCTGTGATCAAACCTTTTTTCTCCCAACAAAGTCGTAGGAATATTATTAAGAAAGGCCGGAGGACCATACGCAAACGTTAGGAAACCTACATGCTTATTTATATACACGGACTGGAAACGTAGACATGAAGGAAAGTTAATTAACAATAGAGATGGCTGATCACCAGAGAGTTGGTGTTCATCCTGCTGGAGATGTGGAGGCACCGCCTATGCCTCCGTTGGTGCTACTGCATGGACACAGTTCATCATCATCATCAACTACAGAGAGAGAAAGCGACAGAGAAAACGAAGCTGCTTCTGCTTCTGGTTCAGGCGAAAATCACTCTGCTCCCTTATCTCATCTTCCACCCTAAACTTCTAATTACTCGGATGATAGCTTGAAGATTAGCGACTTAAGGCACAATTTGGACTTGACCTTATATGCTCAATTCGACGTCAAATAACAGCCAATTACCCAAACAAGTGATCGGAATTTACTACGAGAATGGTGGCTGGTTGAGTGTGTGGTATACAAACACGAAGCTTTATCAAGGGACGCTACCAAAGTTTTACCAAGCTCATCAGAACAATACTCTACTCAATGTAGCCTTGACTGGCCACACGCAATATGGAAGCACTTTGATGAATACACTGCAACAGCAACAACAAACCGGAAGCATCCCCTTGGATCTAAAGCTTAACGAACCCGTGGCAATTAAACCCGGGAAATTGAAGCTCAGGAAGGTGACCATCTTGGGGAAATGCTTGTTGGTGGTAGATAGCTTAACTGCTAACAATTTGATTAGCATTAAAGCTAATAATTGTATATTCAGAATGAAACTTTGAATTAATCTTGCAATACATCTGCAATACAGGGGATATGGGAGCTGTTTATTTATTTATTTGTTTTTTATCTGTTGGATTTCTCTCTTCTTTCTTTCTTTCTTTCTTTCTTTCTTTCTTTCCATATGTATTTCCATCAATGCAGTTGTCGTTTTCTCTCGTAGTAAACGCAGCAATTGAGTTGTGACGGAAATAAAAACCACAGCAATTGAGCGCGCACGAGACAAAATCACAAGAAGTGATGCTAAAGGTATAAAATATTTTATATGTAATGGTGTACAGATCTACCTACATAGAGTGTTATGCCTATCGATAAAATGTCATGTCATGTGTCCTACAATAGTTAAAAATATATAACTAGAAGGGTCTACGAGCAGTGTGCACCACATAATCAGAATCAGTTTCAACTTGAACTGACCTGCAGGATCAGTTTCAACTTGAACTAACCAGAACACCTGATGGATTTTGTCACCTGTACGTTCCAGTCATTCTGGGTGCATCTTATGTGATACAGACCCAACCACTTCAATTTATAAAGTGGATTAACAATACCTCTCATTGCCATCCATGGAAGCATGTTTGACTTCTAAATATCAGGACAATATACAAGAACTAATCACCAGTCAAAGCCCGAGGTCTGTGCTCAATCGTAAACAAGGACATACCAGTTTGTGAAATTGCTCTAACAAATGCCATATTTGCCGTTACAGTTGGAGCACACCAGGAATCACCAGTACCAAAAACAACCTTATTCTTCAAAGCCAGTTTTCTAGTGGTTGGAAGGCTCATCATTCGTTCAGAGGGACTATCAGGAACAACCCTGCACCAGTCCTAAAGGTTATTAGCGCATGATAATACCAACAAAAGGGAAATGATCAACCAGATACAGACCCTATAGATAATAAAGGAGCAAATCATCAAACCTATCATACCAACGTCCATACAACTCAGTTTGAACCTCAATGCAGACCAGGGTTGGTTGGTTATAACAAATGTGCAGTGCTCGTTTCCTTCTTTCTATAAATTTTCATTTCCTAAATAAATAAATAACCTCAAAATATGTTTAATGTCCTAGACTGAGGGCACTAGAATCTAGATAGGCTTTACCAACCTCGGAAGCCAATATGTAAGTCTATTTCATCCATCATCCTCCAAATGCAATCTACGAAGTTCCTCGTATGTGCAATGATCTAAATCATACACCCAAGGTTAACTCACCAATTAAGTTGAAGCATTTCGCAGGCCGAAGCCAATTATATAAGGAAAAACAACTTAAAACAGTTTCTGGTTTTTAGTTTTCATTTTGTGTACTTTTCCTTATACATTTCTGCTACATCTCTTCCGGCATCCTTCCTCCACTCTTCCTTATCTCTCTTTCTCCCATGCTTTTCTTCTATCTCCAACACAAAAATGAAAAGTAAAATCTAAAAAAACAAAAAAGAAGTTGTTATTAAATGGACCCTTAGTTTTTTCTATAATGTCAGTGTTGTTCTTCTATCTCCAGCACAAAAATGAAAACTAAAAACTAAAAAAACAAAAAAGAACTTGTTATCAAATGGACCCTTAGTTTTTTCTATAATGTCAGTGTTTATATTCTTTTGAAATTGGGGCAGACACAAAAAAATGTTTAAAGAAGTAACAAAAAACTGGTAGGAAAACTCACGTAAGATACTTTAGCAAATGGCTAGCTCTCAAGTTCTCATTGGGCCCACCACAGATCAATGCTAACTCTTTGAACTCCAAAAGGACACTTTCACAGATTATGCTTCTCTTTCCAGACATTGCGCGACCAAGTTCAACAAGAATTGGATTCTGAATCTCAGACATCACCTGGCAGGATATCAAGAAACCTTAACCTGGATTGGATGTTAATGTAACATAATTCTTGTGAAAGGTGGATAATTTTATTTAGTTCCCAGAACGAAAAAATGGTTGATGAGGCATATAAACAAACTTTATGAATCAGCATGATAGCAAATACCATAAGAAATATTTAAGGAAAAGATATATAAATATAATAAGAAGTTCAATGTACAGAGTAACAGTGGTTAAAATCTTATAGGTTGTTTTAACGGACTGCCAATGATCTACCGAACCAATCCGTTTGTGTTTGTGTTTATTCAGTATCTGCCACACTGTAAGACAATAAACTTGAACAGCCTGCGTTGAAAGGATTTCTCAAGATATTTTAAATCTTAAAAGTAAAACTAACCATTCACAGAAGAATACCACAGAGCCAACAGACACGCTAACCCTAAAACTAACTACTTTTTGAGTTCATAATTCAATCCTTCAATACGGCTATGTCCCGCTGTAACACCAAAAGATTTCCAAGACAATGGGACAGGAAACACAAAACTAGAATGAAGAACTAACCTGTTGAATCACAAACTCGTAGTTACCCTTAAACCGCTGCCTCAATTCACTTTCTGGAGTAGCCAAAAGCTTGTCTGTA